GAAACAGACTGATTAGGTCTGGCACCCGTCGTTTTTTCGTCGCTCCTGTCTTGTGATTAACAGATTTACACGTTTTTGATGGACGGGGGGGGGGGGGGGGGAGTGAGGGTGGGGGCTGTTTGGTTTCGAGTGTGTGTTGAACATCGTTTCAGAGGTCTGTGTTGAACATTTCTTAAGACACCTGTGTTGAACACGTGTTACGACACCTGGGTGTAACATCTGTTAAGACACCTGGGTGTAACATCTGTTAAGACACCTGGGTGTAACATCTGTTAAGACACCTGGGTGTAACATCTGTTAAGATACCTGGGTGTGACATCTGTTAAGACACCTGGGTGTAACATCTCTTAAGACACCTAGGTGTAACATCTCTTAAGACAACTGGGTGTAACATCTCTTAAGACAACTGGGTGTAACATCTCTTAAGACACCTAGGTGTAACATCTCTTAAGACACCTGGGTGTAACATCTGTTAAGACACCTGGGTGTAACATCTGTTAAGACACCTGGGTGTAACATCTGTTAAGACACCTGGGTGTAACATCTGTTAAGACACCTGGGTGTAACATCTGTTAAGACACCTGGGTGTGACATCTGTTAAGACACATGGGTGTAACATCTCTTAAGACACCTGGGTGTAACATCTGTTAAGACACCTGGGTGTGACATCTGTTAAGACACATGGGTGTAACATCTCTTAAGACACCTGTGTGTAACCTCCTGAGAAACCAATGTGGAACATCGTTTCGTACGTTTTTGATTCATACATCACTTTACCACACCTGTGTGGATTATCTCGTCAGAAAATATGTGTGATATGGTAAAACTTATGCGTGAATAACCTATTGCTCTTGGTACCTTAAAATTCCTCAAATCCCTACTGTTTTGACTGATACCATTTTGTGAGCTATGTCAGGAACTACCTGTACTAGTATTGTTACTCTAAAAATATCTCCTGGGAAAAAAGTTACTATATTTTAGTATTGAAACTGACGCGATTTTTCCTTGTTATAAAATTGCATGTACCTTCACCAGAAGTAGTGATAGGTATGCCTCATATTTTCTCGCCCAGCAAGATGGAGATGTGTTATGAGCAGTAATATTTGCCCTGTTGCCCAACTTTTTTACTTTGTGATTTCATTTGTTTTGCTTGGGATATCTAATGGGACCAAAAAACAGAACTGTAATTATTATTTTTTGGGGGGAATTTGATGCTAGAATAAATTTTTAACCTCAAAAATTGACTGGTTGCCATCTGACCACATTGCTCTGTATGGACATAATTGTAAAAGTGTCGGGTACACGATAATCCTAAAAGATGAAGATTAACGTGTCACAGAAACCTGTTTGCTCCCGTTCTGTGACGCCTGCAACATGTCCCTCTTGGAACCGGATGTGCGTTTATCGGCTTTATGTATTACGTCATTGTCAGTCTTAACCCCGCGGGACCACGTGGTCTGTATGTTGTCATAGACCACGTGGTCTGTATGTTGTCATAGACCACGTGGTCTGTATGTTGTCAAAGACCACGTGGTCTGTGTGTTGCTACAGAATGTTAACCAACCAAGACAATCGTCTGCTTAAGTACCCGGACTATTTTCATTACTAGCGCGGGTGAGTTTTCCCGCCAAGTTTGTGGCCATTAGACCCACGTCACATCCTCACGCCTGCTGTACTTGCGGTTGATTTTATTACACCCCAATCTGTCCGTCTGATGGATGGCCCCCAGGCACGCTGGGGAGGTGAAAGTTCAGAGTTCAGGGGTTAGTCATATTTGAATAGCGTTGGTAACGAGTTGATCTTTAATGATTTGTTTTTCGTTGAGCGGATGTTTAATTTTTTAATAATTTTTTTTTAATTTTGTTTGCCGTCTTCTGGCAAAAGGAGATATTTGGTGTCAGCACGTCGTTAGAAAAAAAGCAGTTTTCACATTTTCATATTACATTTCCACATTACATTTTCTTATATTTTCTCATCACATTTTCTCATCATATATATCCACATCATATTAAGTCTAGCATTTTCGAAACCACATCACATTTTCTCTTCACATTTCACATCACATTTTCACTTCACGTACTCACACAATCACATTCCCACATATCACATTTCGCAAAACATGTTTGCTTCATATTTTCAACATCGGTTGATTTTATCAATGGTTTGATTCAATAAACAGAACAAAGAAAAAATTAATTAAACAAATAACGCACCATGTCAATTTAGCACATAGTGTATTCATACATGAAACAAGTTTTTGTTTTATTTTGTTTTTGTCTTGAAAAGGGTGCGTAATGGAACACCAAGGTTCCGCCTATGATTACACTATTTTGAACAGGGCGGAACTAATGAGAAGTTTAGACTTGCACAAAATGAATTTGATGGGTATTTTTCACTACATTAGTTTTTGCTCTTCAGTTCTAGTCTGCATTGCATTATTTTGTTTTTGATGGATTAACCGTGCGAATATATCGATATAGCGAGTATCATCGATAACAATAACTATATAAGTTGGGGCTATATTACAGTTGATTTTTTTTTTGAGGCTGACAGTATTGTTACCAGCGATACTAGTTTACAAGCACATGGGTACGTCTAATCGCCAAGTCCCGATTGCTCTATAGCACCGTTGTCCACCGTTTAAAATATTACAAATCACTCCCGGTTTGATATTGCCATAAATCTCGATCAGAAATACATTTTGAATTAGAAAAGCGTCGCTTTAGAAATCATAAAAAAAATATTTTGAAATAGAAAAGGGTCATTTATTATTTTCTTGTATTTTAGAGATCATAAAATACATTTAAAAAAGAAAAGGGTCGATTATTATTTTCTTGTACTTTAGAGATCATAAAATACATTTTGAATTAGAAAAGCGTCGCTTTAGAAATCATAAAAAAACATTTTAAAATAGAAAAGGGTCATTTATTATTTTCTTGTACTTTATAGATCAGAAAATACATTTAAAATAGACCAGGTTCAATAAGTATTGTCCTTTACTTTAGAGATCATAAAATACATTTAAAATAGAAAAGGGTCATTCATTATTTTCTTGTACTTTATAGATCATAAAATACATTTAAAATACAAAAGGGTCCATTAGTATTGTCCTGTACTTTAGAGATCATAAAATACATTTAAAATAGACCAGGGTCACTTAGTATTGTCCTGTATTCTAGAATTGTCCGAATGAGATAAACCTATATCTGCCATCTTCACATCCCAACGCTATTATTTCTATTAGCGCTCCCCCTTCTCACCCCCCTCACCCTTCCACTTCCTGTTGCGTCCTCTTAGATTACGATCATCCCCAAAACACGGAGTTAATCTCTTGAGCGGTAATTTCTAAATTTGGGTGAGTACATTCGGCCAGGTTCTCACAGCTCGGGCCGTGCCAATCACGGGCCATTGTCTGTGTTTCACGCTTATTCGGTGATCACGCGGTCTAGAGATGGGCAGCCTGATCGAGTTATAATATAAGAGGGTGGGGGTTAACGAGAGTTGACTGCCATGACAGTTCTGAAGTGGGGGGGGTCGGGTGTATAGGGGGAGAGGCGTGGCTGAGGAGTTTCTGTTTTCGGTTTTATTTTAATATTATATTGCTAGGGGGCTGTCATGCATAAATGACGTCACGTCGCACTTTTTTTGACGATTTCTATCCCACACCCCCTGTAACACATCATTACAAAATGACATAACCCCTCGTAAAATGACGTCGCACCTCAACATTGCAATTTAATCATTATTTTTTAACCATCAATTTTTTTTCTAAAATATTGACTGTACTTGGTTAACACTGAGTATAATAATCAATTTATAATGCAACTTACAAAACCATCTTTCAATAATCTTTCAAAAATCGCGATATAATGGCCAAAATTCAGCATTTAACATTACTGTTTAAATGCTACAGTGTGAGGTCACACTCTCTGAACCACCACACCGCTCATCATATATCGTCACAAAATTTAGAACCCTTCCCCCCTCTCCCCAGGAATGTTAGGTCATATACGCTCCTAATTATAGAATGGGTTGATGCGAGTAAAGCTGACTATAGCGGATTATAGAACGTCACGGTGTATGTGTGTATGTGCCCCAAAATCTGACTCCGGTTAGATTAGATGTAACTGACTCTACTAATCATGGATGTACCTGACACCAGTTAAGCTGAACAAAACCTCAATGACCCTGTTTTTAAGCCGGCTCTAAAACAGATTATCGACCACTGATGCTAATCAAACCAGACGCTTCGTACTTTAAATAGTATCGGCATGTACTTTATCATTATCGCATTTTCTAGACCAAAGTCTGTTGTGTGTTTGTTTGTTTTCTTGGTTTTTAACTGCATTGAAAAATACATACTCTTTTTTTATTTAAAAAAAAACTCCTATGGAAAGCTTTATTGTTTCGTAAAAGAATACTGTATGAATTTTATTTTGTCTAAATATACTTGCTTATCTCAAGGGGCGTATCTTTATTAATAGACTCGATTCAGCATTCATGTCCTAAGGTAGTTGTGTATCAGTAAAGGACACTGGTGATAACATTGTTTCACGTGCTGCCTCTTCAGGCTGCCTCTAGCTGCGTCACAACTACCATACGCCTGACGTCGGTGGTAGGCGGGGTTGTCGTTAAAGGCGTGGCTTCCTCGATAGGCGTGGCTAAGACGAAATATATGTATTCAATATTCAAAACTGTCTATTTTATTAGCAATGCCCCATTTTGTTTTGTCTCCACCCCCCCCCCCCCCCCTCGTTCTGTAAGTTCAACTTTCAGCGTGACCATCTCATTAGGCGTGGCTTTCTGCGGTAGGCGTGGCTTTCTGCGGTAGGCGTGGCTTTCTCGGTAGGCGTGGCTTCCTCCGTAGGCGTGGTTTCCTCTGTAGGCGTGGCTTCCTCTGTAGGCGTGGCTTCCTCTGTAGGCGTGGCTTCCTCTGTAGGCGTGGCTTCCTCTGTAGGCGTGGCTTATTTAACATTGCCTCCATTTTTTTTCCTCCCCAGGCCCTCCTTCAGTCCCACGATGTGGTAGCCCATGAAGTCTACAGTGAAGACACCGCCCACCACGCGTCACCCAGCTCATCGCATCCCTCCTCCATCCCCGCCCACCCCTACGTCAATGGCAGCATGAGCGCTCAAGGCAACGGAGACATTGACGGCGGCGGTCTCCGGCACGACACCGTCGATGGCGTCGTCCGTGTTCGGCTGGTCCAGTTCCAGAAAAATACCGACGAACCAATGGTATGTATTGTTGTAACGTTCAACCTTTTAGAAAAATACCGACGAACCAATGGTATGTATTGTTGTAACGTTCAACCTTTTAGAAAAATACCGACGAACCAATGGTATGTGTTGTTGTAACGTTCAACCTTTTAGAAAAATACCGACGAACCAATGGTATGTGTTGTTGTAACGTTCAACCTTTTAGAAAAATACCGACGAACCAATGGTATGTGTTGTTGTAACGTTCAACCTTTTAGAAAAATACCGACGAACCAATGGTATGTGTTGTTGTAACGTTCAACCTTTTAGAAAAATACCGACGAACCAATGGTATGTATTGTTGTAACGTTCAACCTTTTAGTTTATGTGTTACTGTTTACACTGAGAGATGACTCCTCTACTAAAGATTGGGTTGTGATCATGTCTTTTTATGGGACGTCCTGCCAAGCGATAGAGCATGACTACTAACCTGAAAGTCACGAGTTCGGATCTCGAACTGAACACTATTGGACTTAATAGTCCACCTATACCTGAAGGGCACCCAACTTATTATTGAAAGTAAAGGCGACTGTTCATGGTGCTGACACTAGCCCTTCATAAGCCGTTATAATGGAAACGTATCAACTCTGCCCATTTGACCGTCAGATCCGCGGGTTAGTTTTAGGTTAGCGATACCAATTTGTGGAAAGGAATCACTACATATATTATTAGTTTACTATTCCGTTATATTGTTATAGAAGGCTAAAAGTATAATGCAGTAGAACGTCCCTGGGTCCACCCAACTCTGATGGGCATAGTGTTGACCCTTCATATGCCGAGGTCACAGAGACAGGTGAACTCTGCTTCACTTGCACTCGTGAGCCGTCAGGTTCGAAAGGGAACATCACTGTATTCAAGTGTATAAAAATATTATCTTTAGGAAAATGATAGATTTTTAAACTAGCAATTGGGTTCATTTCGCTCCATTTTGTGTTATAGTTTGCATGACTAAACAAAAGCTGAATGTATTATAGGCTACAACTCATAGACCTAAGTTAGCAGGCGATTGAAGAGAGGGATATTTGTTCTCGCGAAATAAAAACATTGAACAATAAAGGAAACAATGATGTATAACCTGCATGTTCTGTTAATTATCATTATAGTAATTAATGACATTTTTTTTTGCCAGAGCTCATCAGTCTATATCTAATAAACGCCAATTATCTCCCTTTAATGTACATCTCTTTAAAAAATGTACTGTTATTAACTAATCTAAAGTTGCGTCCCCTGCGGCGATCACCTCCCCCTCCCTGGATACACCCCCAATCCATCACCGGACTAGCCCTGAGCGATGAAATCCGTTTAATTTCAGGGAATCACGCTCAAGGTCAACGACGAAGGTCAGTGTTTTGTGGCCCGGATCATGCACGGTGGGATGATACATCGGCAAGGTTAGTAGACGTAGTAGCCTCCCCTTTTTTTCACTCTCCTATTTCATGTTCATCTGCTATCTATCAATTAGATGTTTCGGAATTTCCCGTTAATCGGAAATTCCCATTAGGTTGTTGTTGTTTTGCTTTTGTTTATAGTTGTTTGCTCAAAAAGGTTTCGTTAAGTGTCGACAACCATTGCTTGCAATGGATAAGGTCAGACATTACATAAAGTAACTTTATAACATACAGCTGTGTAGTAAAGAGGGTAGGGGGGGGGGGGGGGTCGCGCAGAAAATTATGAATATTTATTGGGTTTATTAAATTTTAAATTATGGTGTCAAAAAGTGTCATAATAATCGATGTGACTTCAGCTTGTAAAATTTCTCTTTTTTTAATAACTTTCGGATCATTGATCCAACTGGTGATTAATTCCATTACACCGTTTCACCATAGCCTTGCTTTCCTGGTGTTTAAAGCCAGGTCCGTGTAGGTGACCATGGTTACCGTAAATGACCAGTAGGCCTACCAGTGTTTCTTTCATTTTTTTCTTCGGGGAGGGGAGTACGGACACTGGTAAAAGTATATATTATCTATATACATTTATGTTTAAAAGAAATACTTAGACCCACACAACTTTCTTCTAGACCACAGTTCTTAACCCTCACTATTTTGTTGTCTACTAAAGAACTAAGTCATACATCGTGAGGGGGGAAGAAAACAGCGCCATTAAGGTAATATAAGGTTATGGTGATGATGTGCAAGTTGGACTGCAAAGTGAAAATTCAGCCCGTTTAAATAAACATAAAATTGCTTTAAATTTTAAAACGTACTTTTAAGTCCATTAACTAAATTACAGTACCTAAAGATTTTGTAGAAAAAGAAACTAAGAGTAGCAGCCCTTTAAAAATAAAATGTGGTTATTTCATGTAGGTCTATAACCTAGTCAGTGATTCTCAATCGTTTTTCTTCTTGAGACTTTACTTTGTTATTTATTTGTATACTCGATTCGACTTCCAATGGCTCTTTTTAAAAGAAGTTTTGGGGATATTTTTCATAATACTTCTCTCAGTATTTTGAATTTTAACGAAACGTGCAAGTTGAGCTACATTTCATATTCCTAATGATTAAGCTACGTATCGCACAGTTAAGGAGCCTTCACATCTAGAAACGAAAATATACTATTGTTCCAGTGATATTTATAATTTTCCTTAAGGAATGCGGGAAATAGCATAGACATTTCCGAGAATAATACCTCATAATATGTACTTTTGCCTTTTTTTAAGGCTGATAGAAAAATATTGCAACTTATTTTAATAGAGATGCGTAAAATAAAAATCCTTTTTAATAAAAATTGAGGCAAAAATACTGTAATTTGTTAATCATTTATTGTGTCCAATTCAAAATAATTTTGCAGTTATTGTTTTTTAAAGAAAATAGTCCTCGACTTAATTAATCCTCAAATGGAAGGGCATATCCCATGTATCCCTATACTGGAACCTATCCCACGAATCCCCTATAAAACTGAATCCATTATACACTGTCACCAGTACCCATTGTAGGCTACCCTATTTCATTAAAGCTTTCAATTAAAGCCCCATGCTCAGATAACTCTACCCAAGGCGAGATCGCCATTGTAATTCATCGTCAGATAACTTGCCTCTATAGGAAGACAACTCTTCAGCCAGGGGCAATTAACTCGTGTCCGGCGTTAGATTTATTAGCCAAACCAAGTCGATTAAAAGCATCGCCCACCTTTTTATCTTGCTCTCGTCCGTATGTTGCTATGGTAACCACGGCTACATCCGGATACTCTGTAATCCAAAACTAGACTAACAACAACTAAATTGTTTTTGCTGGAACGAAATTAATTACTTGATTGACAACGTGTAACACTTGATTCTTTTTTTTTATTGGACTTCCATGGCTGTAGACTCTTTTATTGCAGTACCGGACTTAGTAATGGGTTAAGTAGGCAACCACATTAGGGCCCCGTGAATTTAATATTACATCAAACTTGTTTGCGTGTTAGTTAGCTGGACACTGAGATAAATGAGAAGGGGAGGGGTAATCGTTTTATGTCGTGCTTATAACAATATAATTAAGTCATGTTTTAATATATTTTTTTGCCTCGATTCAATAGTTGAATAATTGAGTGGAAAATATCTTGCAAAGCAATCTTTTTGGGTTTAAATTGTGTGCTGAAATATAGTTATCAGTTAAATTGAGTTAACATTTCTTTCTTTTTTTAAAAAATAGCTATCTGTATCAGTGTTTGAAATTCATTCGCTTTTCCACCCTCTCTCCCACCCCTTAATAGCAATCTGGCAAATTGCTATCTCCTACTCCAAAAATTTACAGAGGTAGTCGTCTTAACCCCCATCCCTCCCCAACCCCCCCCCCCCCCCGCCCCCCTTCCTCCTGTAGCTGTAGAGTGCGGACAAACTAAACAACGTTTAGCTGGCAGGGTTAGTTGAGAGCACATCACGACTGGCCAGCTGCCCGTCTGTTTGCACGGACGTACCACTCACTCGGGCGAGAGGGAAAATGGTTTCATCGCCCCATCGTCGAATCTTCATGTTCGATTTCCTGCTAGACGTGTTTTACTTGTGTCGTACCTTGTCAGATTTTTTTTTACATTTTCAAAATCACGTGATCTAAATATAATTAGTTTGTTTTTGGCGTCAAGTTTCCATCTCTAATTACAATACACGAGCTGGTGTATTAGATCGGAGGGAAGGGGAATAATTGCGTGTCCTAAATTATGACCTTGTTCGTTTTTGTTTTGTTTTTAAATCAGTGTGTGGCGGCTTATCTGTTACATTACTTATTTCCTCTGCTTTAAAATAACAATAGGCTTTTTCAATTTAACTTTAGTTCTTTGTTATTTACACAAGACAGTTCAGACAACACGTCTTGTCTCCTGCTACATTCTTAGTTAACTCACTACACACCGACACACCAACACTTGTAAGCAGATAGGCCTACCAATCATGACATCTAAGGGACATAACTCTGATATATGCAATGCAAGGACGCAACTCACGCAACAATAACTAACAAGACATAACGTAGCAATATATATCTTTATTCCTTCTGTACTGTAATCTCAAGCCGATGTATAGATCCCGTCCTGCCCTCGATCTAGACGATTTTTTCCTGTACATTTTGTCTGGTTTTCCAAAAAAAAAAAAATAATTTCAGTAGCTTTTTCGTCGCATCATTTGGATTTGTCTAGTCCGTGAATATTGTGTCCCTTTGGGGTTCGTGTGTTCTATTCCTCTAGGATAGTGCCACCCATTCCATTATGACAGTTGTATCCGACAGTCTGTAGGAGTTACACTTGTACGCTACCCTTATCTCCAACTATCTCCGACCTTTTTGTTTTCGTAATTGTATAACACAGGGGCGGCGTGGTCGAATAGTAGAGCGTTGTGCAGCTAGACCTAGGGTATCTTTTTCGAATCTATCCAGCTCTGATAGGTACCTGACTCAAGTTTGAGAAAGTAAAGGCGTCAGGGTATAATCCTGACCACAAACTCCCTTCATATGCTAAGGTCAATAAACAGATGAACTCTACTTCAACTGTTCCATGTGTTTATGGCACGAACGAGCGGGAAAAAGATGATCGTATAATTATATCGCGTATAATTTCGGGAATTATATCGCGTATAATTTCGGGTTCAAAGTCGTCTTGATAAAAAATGTGTTAACCCTTAAAATGTCTTTACATTTCCATGTCGCTTTGGCCTGGGCCTAATTTCGATTAAAATATATTTTTTTACAATTCTTTTTCTCCACTCAGTAATCGAATATACTTCCGTACTTTTCAAGCGGGCTACTTCCCCTTGGTTCAGCAGTAACCTTAAAATCTAAATATTCATGTTCTTCCAGCGCCCCCTGCCGGCTGCGCGTATGACGTATGTATAAAGAGGTTTGCATAGGAAATGTGACGCAGAAACTCGAGGTGACAGACGGGTCAACGTGACCTTTTCCGGTTAATTGAGCCGAGGTGCCGGCTGTTTTTACAGCTAGGCCAAATTGACTTAATTGGGCTGAGAGGACAGATTTTTTTTAAGCCGCCACTCACACATTTTATATTCACACACACGTTCTTTTTTTTTTTACCCCCACACTCAAAATATTTGGGGGGGGGGGAGGGATTCATCAAGCTCTGAGATCGGTGTTCCGGTACCCATCTTTAGATGTCTTCAGAGTTTAAGATGTGTAATAATGGTGAGAGATATGCCCACGATTTTATTTTATTTTTTTTTTGCCATGATGCCTTAGTAGATCTAGAACACAAAGATGTATGAATCTCGAAATAACCCAAAAACTGGAGTTACAACAGTCTGGTTCTAGGGAAGCGATTTAACTATAATTATAGACTAATAACATTATCAATTATCATGTTCAATATTATACGGTGAGCGTTTTCATGATGAACAGTGTGATGCTAGACTACCCTGTTCTGCGAATAATAGTATTCTCTGAAACTAAGTAGTCAGAAAAAAAGCATAACAAAAACAGCATGCGCTGGTTAACATTTTTTAAAGCCGGTAGAATAATCTCAAGTCTTGTATTTTAAATTTCCCCATTATCAGAAATAAATCGTGAAATTATAGGCTAATTGGTATAGGCCTTAAGGCAGTGTTCGATTTTGCATAATGTTATTTAAAGTGCTAATAAATTATGTTAGGGCGTTTAGATTTCGGGCATAAATCTATAAACATACGTTAGGGCTTTATATATGTTTAGGTAATATATTTTATTTTTTTAACAATGCCTATAGTGTAGTATATGGGGTCGTCCATAAATGACGTCACACTCGTAGGGGGGAGGGGGGTCCATAGTTTTGTGACGGTGTGTGACTAGGGAAGGGGTGGGGTGTTCAGATGGTGTGACGTCACTTTTTTTGCATTATAAAAAAGCAGTGTTAGAAAACGAGTTTTAGCTGTTATTTCATTAATTCGCGTTTTAGAAAACGGTTTTAATAAATTGTAATAGGAATTAATTAAAATACTCTATGTTGACATAGTTCTGACAAGATTTTGGAAAAATATTGATTTTTTAATTAAGAAAAATTCAACAGCAATTTTAAGGGGGGGGGGGGGGGGGGTTTATAGACTGAGGTGTGACGTCATTTTGGGGGGTCTGACTTTTTGTGACGACGTGTGACGGAGGGGAGGGGGGGGAGGTAAAAATCGTCCAAAAAAAAGCGTGACGTCATTTATGGATGACCCCTATAGCCTACAATTTTTTATATTTTGCCTGTGCAAGAAAGGTGAACCTTTTCTATAGCCTACATTTCCACAAAGACACATTTTTGATCACCTTCCCGTTTTCGTTGTTTCTCTGTTATTTGTAGCTTTTTTCGCTGTGCTTTTTTTTTTTTTTTTGCGTTGCTCTTATTTCTGCATCTATTTTTTTTTATAGATCTATTCTATTTTCGTTTTACTTCTCCCATTCCCCCCTCACCCCCCCCCCCCCCACACACACACACACACGTTGACAAATCAGGCAACGGGCGTGAATTATGGCATCTCGCCTGCCTGCAGACATGATTCTACTATCGCTCGATGATTGCACTAAAGCGATTTTCCATTAGCGACATTAAAGGAATTTTTAAGAAAATGTTTGCATCTCTCAGCACATTCAGACTCATTCTTTTTTTTTTCTCTTCTCAGATACAACCCCCCACCTTTTATCTATTTCCGACTCGGATTCGTTATTTAGAATGACCTCCCCTTTATACATTTTACGTTACTATCGGAACTCTTTTGTACGCGGTTGTGAAACGCGGTTCTCATATTTGTACCGTAGGCGTCTCAATCTCAGTCGCAACCTAAGGACGTTAGTTAGCCTCTACTAAGGGTGTGTTGGAGAAAATGTGGATTCTCGTTCTTAGATCTAGACTAGATCTAGATAGATCTAGGCATGTACTGAAAGCAGGTCCTTTAAAAAAATGTGTTATCACCTCACTCATTCACATTTTTTTTTATTTATTAAATTAAGGTAGATCTAGATCAGGGGTTCCCAACCTTTTTTTACTCTAGAGCACATTCTAAAATATCGGTAGGGTGGCGGGCACCACCTATTTTAAATCGACAAACTCCTTCCAGAGGCGTAGCGACCCTTCCTGTCTGCCACCCGGGGACAAAACTTTCGATTTGCACCCCCCCCCCCCCCCTCAAACTTTCGATTTGCACCCCCCCACTCAAACTTTCGATTTGCAACTCCCCCCCTCAAATTTTCCATTTTACACCCCCCCCCCCCTTAAACTTTGGATTTCCATCCCCTTCAACCTTTCAATAATGTTTATGAAGAAATTTCTGTCTCTGTCGAATAGTGAGAGGCGGGCACATACGAATCGTTCGGCGGGCGCCATGGCGCACGCGGGCACGGGGTTGGGAACCCTTGATCTAGATCTAGCAGACTTTTCCAGTTTCGAAATAGATCTAATTGACTAATTAATTATTTATTACAAAGGCATATGCCCTATTATATTAATTAGGCCTAGAAATAATAGATTAATAATAATAAATAGTCCCCCTAGAATGCCCTAGATTTATCTAGATCTAGTACTTGAATATATCCAAATATTACTAGATCTATGACTATTAGCTGTATGCCAAGAGTCTATTGTTAATCGAAGTGTCTATTCACAGTCGACTGTGAATAGCCGTATTGGGGCTATTCAAAGTCGTGACCGTTTTTTATTGATTTAATGTTAAAAATACCCAATTGAGCATGAAGATGTATGGTCGTGCGGTCATGGGGAGCGGCTGATATACCAGAAGGTGCGGGTTCAAATCCTCAGATGCCTTGTTGCTATGACTCATAAATCATAATCTATGCCTTTTTACCTTATTATCAAAATATTTTTTCACAGTTACTCATGGAAGGGTTACTTTTGTTAATTTTTTTTTTCGTTTCTGACCTAATTGTTGGCATATCAGCAAAAAAAAAAAAAGACTTGTCCCGTAGATTTTTGCTAAGAGAAAAAACACAATGTGAACAACCAACTAAACTGATGCTTTATTATTTATTTTTAAATTACTAGATCTATTATTCTAGTGTATAGTTTTAGAGTGCATAATTGATCATCTATGAACGTAGACATAGCCTGTAGCAGATATGTCTGATATGAGCCTGAAACTTTAACCGTAATAACTTTTTTAATAAAAATATAACAAAATAAAAATAGCACTGCTCTCTTAATTAATCTATACCTCACTCCCCAGTCACAATAAATGCTTTTATTATTTAAAGATATTATTCACAGTTGTATCAATAAATGACAGCCGACTGTGAATAGCCGTATTGGGGCTATTCACAGTCGGCTGGGAATAGCCCCAATATGGCTATTCCCAACCAGCTGGGAATAGCCTTAGCCATTGTTAATTGTAATGATGATACTAATTGTATTATAATTATAAGTATTTATAGTAGTAGTAGTAGGTAAACTAGTATATCATAATACTATACTAATAATGCCCTAATAATCAGAAGATAGCAATTTCTAGACTAGCCGGGTGAGTTGTGCTCAGTTTCACACCCCTCAGAGCCAACCACAAATCATAATAAAGTTGCAAATGAAGGGACTGTTGTTAAGTTCCATGCCTAGCCTCCTAAACATGAGTCAGGTGCTTAGAGGACTCAGTGATGTCATACAAACTTGCGGAGTGTCTTCCAGGCATCTCTTTGGGGGGTGGGGGGGAGCTCTGCCCGAATGAAATGGAATTTGCATAGAAAATATATACTTTTAATAATGTCCGCCCCCTGGGAATTTTGGTCTGGAAAATTTCAAGTGCCCCCCCCCCCCCCCCCCCCCCCCCTGAAGAAAAAGTCTAGGAGAAATACTGCATACTTGAGCCCAGGATCCAACCTCAGTACTTTCTAGTTTGTATTCATGCACTTTATTACCCTTTCAGACCTTCTCATAAGCCTTCTTATATGATTTTATCATATGTGTTAGGGTGTTTTGCTTCATTTCTGCGTTAATTTAAATATTTTTTAAAAATTCTTTTAGGGGTAAGTTCGTTTATATTGCTTTAAAATAAAGGCCGTTGTGAGACAAAAGCTGTCGATATTTATTTATTTTGGTCAGTGGATCTAGTTATATTCACTTGAGTGGTCATTTGTATCAGCTCTCCTCCCCTTGATGGCCATTAGCATACATCTCCACCCAGTCAACAGAATCTAGTTATCTGCCCTCTCTTTACTTGACAGCTAAATTCAGTTATCCTCCCTTATTAAATAAGCTGGTAATCAGAATGAAGTTATCTTCCCTTGTCAATACGTTTGGACCTAATCCATTGATGAATCTGTCATTGAAATAATAGTCTGGAGCTTTTTTTAGATTGTTTTATTATAGAAAAATTCAGACAAGGCTTGCTTTAGAGCTAACATCATATCATCAATTTAAATGTAGATTTGTTGTTTAAAGTAATAAAGTGCAGTTAAAAAAAGACTGCCATATTAAATAATTAAATATGGCTCTTTTCAATAGGCCTACATCTTGTTTCTCTATTATAAAAACTGGAAACATTAAAAACATCAATACAAAATGTAACTTTAAAGGCTGCACCACGAGTAAAAAGAATTTTAGCAGAAAATATTTATGAAACAGCTTTTATCTTATAATAAGTTGCCAAACCCTTAATTAAAAAATGAGATAACAGATTAAAAACGATTTTTATGAGATTTAGTAAACATCGGCAGGTAATTAAATTTTATGTAGAAAAATGTAATAATTATAATCAGTTTTCTAGAACTAGATTATTGTAATCATATTAATTAAAAATATATAAGCTCGTTCATCTTTATGTTGTGCAATGTGGAACATGAGAAGTTAATTTGATATTTTAAAATGTAACATTATACTACATTTGAGTTTTAAAATGTACTTTATTTAGTTTCCTATGCTAACAAGTTGATTTTATTATATAAAAAATAATTATATATCAGGTAAGTTTCACAGTTATTTTTGCAAATATGCAAGAATGTAACAGTGTTTAAGTAACTTAAAAAGCCCACCAAAAAAAATTGTCTTTTATGAGTTTTCATTTAATACAAGTATAATGTTAGGTGTTGGGGACCAAAAGATCTTTTTGCAAGCTAGTGATTAGTTAGCAAAATTACAGACAGAAGATGAAGTGGGTAGCAGGCCCATGTAATGTCTACAGAAAGTTGAAAACTTATATCAGTATGCTTTGTAAATATTTTATAAATCTAAATTAATTTCTATCTTAGATGTGTTGTTTAAGGGCCAAATCATTGTTGTTTTTTTGTTTTTGTAGAGGTTGAATGCACTTAACTTTAGAACTTTGCATTAACTCCTCTGGGGGAGTATTAATGTTGCTGTACTGAATTCTATCCAGATTTTAATAGCATTTATATTGCAATGTTTCTGTAAATTTTCCTTTATTAATTATAAATCAAAAATATGTGACATGTCATAAAACATTGGCATATAAAGTCCCCTATATTGCAGATATAAAAATTTGACTTCATCATAATTTAATAAACAAATGTTTCCTTGTGTTTCAGGTACACTCCATGTTGGTGATGAAATCAAAGAGATCAATGGTATCAGTGTCCAGAATCAGCCTGTAGACAAACTACAGTCTATGCTGGTAGGGCTTTATTCCTGACGTTTTGTTTTTCATTTATGGGGGATATTTTTTAACTGCTGGAACTTTACTGCTGATAAATACATCCATTTTATTTCAATATTTATTATATTTTTATTGATAGGACAATGAGATTTGTTTAAAGAATTCTTTTAAATATTTTTTTTTAATTTACAGATTTTTGTTACTTTTTTTTTAGTTAAAAAGATAAAGCTTTTCTCTTTACTTCCATTATCTATATATATAATTCTCTTCTGGGAGCCGTTAGAAAACAAGCTGCAAGCGCCTCCTTGCAGTCCCCTCTCTTTCTCTCTATCACTATCACTACCACCCCCACCCCCACATTGTCTGGTGAGCTGTGGTCACGCTAAATGTTTACAAAGCTAAATGTTTACAAATCGTAGAGCCGTAGAGCCGGGTTTCTATTAGGGGCAGATAATTTAGTTCGATTTTAAACTAACAGGAGGTAACTAAGAAATAACTAAGAGGAGGCTGCTTTCACGGGGGGGGGGGGGTGTAGGTTAGGGGAAAGGGGGGGGGGGGGGTTAGTGTTTTAAAGCAAATATTTTCAGTGGCAGCATTGGTACTGTCGAATTCACAAATTATGAATTACTGAAAAGTAGAAAATAAAACAACTAAATAGCGGCGTATGATACGCTGCGGGTCGGCTCGTTACTCGTTTCAAAAAATCTCTCATTTACATATGATATGTAAGTTACCTCATTAAACTTTTAAGTTTTTTAGTTGGAACTTTGTTATTATGTGTCCAACAGAAATGACTGGTTTAATTTTGAATCTTTGATCATCACTCTGTCTCACCCTGACCTAAATCTGTGAACTGTCATCCTCTTTTGGTCTTAACAGAAAAGTTTCATTTAGTCTTAAGGGGTCCTCAATACATGGCATCATACTCCTGTGGGGTGGACTTTGTGAAGTCACACTTCAGAATTTTTAAAAATAATTTTTAAAACCTTTAAAAACTAATTTTAGCAGATATTTTGCAATTTTAAAGACTCAATGTTGTAAAATTGTATTGGTTTACTAAGCAATAGCTGTTTAAAAATAAAACAGAATTGTTATATGGGTTAGGATATGCGAAATATTAAGGGGTATGTGAACAAACGGTGTTGAAGTACTCCAAAAGAAGTGTGATATCATTTATGTTTGCCCCGAACTGTCATTAAATTTTATTACCATGTCAAAATCTTGGTAAGTGTGGTTGCAAGCTGAATTTTATGTGTCGTACATAGCTTACCAAGAAAAAAAACATTTTTAAGTCCACTTTTAAAAATAAGCAGTATGTTTATAAAAACTGCAAAACAAAAAAAAATCTTAATATTATTGTGTATCTTTATTAATAAGGGTGGTTACTACTAAAAGCAGTGGATATCAAAGTGTAAAAAGAGTCCCTGTTTATCAATACATTAAATTTTACATCAAATTTAATACTATTTAGCATTTACAAATAATTTTACTTTAAGACTTAGAGGTTCATATAGAAAAACAAATGGCCTAAAACTGGGGTATAATTATCTGACAAAAGGCAAATTATCTTGACGCCATTTATGGTATAAAAATAACTCTTTTATTTATAGTATCAAAACAATGAAGGAGTTATATTTATAAAACTGTACACAAATAAAGTGTGCCAGGAATTTTTTTTTTATTTATAGGCCTAATTTAAGGACATTAGCAAATAATTACCACACTTTGTATTACAACAATTTATTTTATAAAAAAATAAATTAGCCTATTGTTGTTATATGACTGACAGGCAATGTTTAACTATTAAAAACTAATCATTATCTGCATGCTGTGTTTAAATGTTCCGTAATGTGATTTTCTATAGAGAGACCTTAAAGGTGCTGTAGTTCTAAAAGTTCTGCCCTCTGTGTCCAGTCCCAAAAGTGAACATCTTCAGCAGAAAGAGGTAAACTTTAGAGAAGAAAACATTTGCTTAATCTCACTTCAGCATGTGCTCTCAACATCTACTAATACTAATTTGGACTTTTTTTTTTTGTAACGCCAAGGTTAATTTGTTTCAATTGTCACTTGAAAATGGTGATATTTAATAGTAAAATACAGCCTCATAAAATTAATGTCTGGTACATTCAGTGATCAATTAGTTATTAGGAAAAATTTACAGCATATAAAAAACAATTTAACCTTGGCTTCAGGGAGTTTCCAGGCTAACAGCTGCAAGATTTGAACCAAGTCATCCTAAATCAAATCTATTCACTTCACCTTTGACCTTTTTCATTTTTTAACTCCACATCAACTGTGTCTATTTAAATAAAGAGAAAATAAAAACTTTTAAACTAATTTTTAACTGTTCATTTTGGTTAAAATTGAATTAAAATAATGTTTCTGAAATTCATTTTCAAAGATTTCATAAAATTTATTTCATCACTCATGGAATTTATTTAGTCAGTGGCGTATTTATGAACACAAGATATCACCAAAATAAAAATTTGATCTTTATTTAGATAGACACAATTTGTTTTTGGTCACTTTTGGCACCTAAACTAACTCCTAACTAATGCTGTGAATTTTAACCACCTTTGTTCCTGCACCCATTCATCTTAACAAACTTTAGAAGGAAGCAAGGGGTAGCATCATACTCAAGATAGTACCCAGTCAAAGGGTTTATGTACCACAGTGTGAGGTAACTCTGTCGATTATTTTAGAGTGACCTCCCTTTGTTGTTGCATTTGTATTCTTTAATTTTGATGTGTTTTTAATTTTAGAGATTAGTTATTATTTGCATGAATTTGTTTAACAATAATATCCTTTCTGTTATTGGCATTAAGAGTAATGTATAAAATATATATGTATCTGCCTTTTAGAGACGGAAGCGTAGGCCTACTTAGAAGTACTTATGCTTAAAAGATTAGTACAAAGAATCATATGCGTTGCTAGGCGGGGCATGGGGTGCTGACCGCACCGGGTGACACCATTTAAGGGGGTGACACCAAGACTAAAAATTGCAAGATTTAATGAATAAAAATTTTTGCTATTTCAATGAATGGTTAATAGAGATAAAAAGTCTTTTTAATCATGATCACAACATGGGGGGGAGGGGGGGGGGCTGACACCATGACATAACCTGCTAACTATAGAGAAAACAATGCTACACCCAGGTGTGTTAACAACCGACTTTAGATAAACATCATTAGATTAAATTTGAACAATTTAAGCTTTTACGGTGGGGGTGGGGGGGTTGAAACCAACTGCAAAATCTACACCATGAAGTGCCACACCAGGTGAAACCCGACCTAGCGATGCCACTGCAAAGAATGTTGTTTTATATAGTAAAACAGTAGGCATTAATTTTAAAACATTTTGTTTTCAAGTCTTTTCTTTAGGCCTTAACATTTATTTTAGTGAATTGACTAGATCTTTAATCTAGCTTTAAGTATTTCAATGCATGATTTTTTAAATTTATTAACAGTTTTTCTGTTATAATTTTATTTATTGTTTTTTGAAAATGACTTGCGAATTTTCTAGTGATAATAAAAAATGTAAAAAGATTTTTCTTTGAAACTTGACATTTGAATTTGTATTTAAAATATTACCTGGGAAAAATAATCCAAATATTATATTTTTCTTTGAAATTAGTTTTTAGATCTTTTAATAAGCATTTTAATGAATAGTTAAAGAAAACTTTAAAATTCTTGTCTTTCTTTAAAAAAAAACTATTCTGAATTTACCCATGTTTTTATGATGTTGTTTTAGTGGTGAACTAATGAGATGTAGCTGCCAACATTAGGATTTACCCATTTTATTGGGGCATTATGAATGTATTTATGTTATGATGGACAACCAAACTGTTAGTCCCTACGAATATTTAGACTTTAATTATAGCAAAAATGAGCCTCTGCTGCTAATTAGTTTAATTAGGTACAGAGATTTTTTAGTTCATTTTTAATACAACTATTAAATTATCCAATGCCCATTTACTTTGCGGTAGTCTATTCTACAACAGATCCAAAGCTCACTACTCCAATAGCCTAATCCAGAGCCCCTCCCCTCTTCTCATTACTCCACCACTGTATTAAGTGAAGTGCTACTGTTGTCTCATTATGTAATCTTGTTTTTAATACCTTTGTTGCTTGAAATTTTGATGCATTAGCTTAAATTACCACCATATCAAATTAATTTTTTTTTATGTAAATGCAATATTACATTTTTCAATCTATTCAAAAAAATTTTGTATAGCCTAAATAAAATAATTTTCATTTCCTGAATTTCAAACTTAAATTTTTAAAAATTTAATAAAGTAAATAAATTAGCACAATTGAAAATTTGTTTTTTAAATTTCCTGTTTTCTCTCCAAGATTTATGTTCGAGCATTATTTAATTATAACCCTGGTGACGACGACCTCATTCCATGCTCACAGGCTGGTGTGCCTTTTAAAGTGGGAGATGTTCTACGGGTGAGAGCTTGTGTTAACACTACTTTTTTCATCTGAAATTCTGCGTGACTTACTCGCAGGAATTATCATATAGATTTCTGTAAAATTCCATTAGCATACTATTTAATTTTATGAAACATTATTATAATTAATCCGCATTCTTATTCAAAATTATAATCCATCACTTCAAATACACTGTATTAGCAACACAATCCATCACTTTTATAATTATTAGTAGTCACAGTGATATAATCCAGTAACAAGAAATCAATTTTTATTCTATTTCCGTAGATCATAAGCAAAGATGATTCCGACTGGTGGCAAGCCAAGAAGTGGGAGGTGAAGAGCTCAGGGCCTGCTGGTTTGATTCCATCTCCAGAACTTCAGGAGTGGAGAACAGCTTGTGCAGCCATTGAGAGAGCTAAACATGAACATGCAGGTACAGTAAACATCATAAAGTTGTTCTAGACTTGACACTCTAGTAATCATTAGGTAATCTTTAGGTAAATTGTATATTAAGTATTTTATTTTTTATAAAATCTCATTCTCTTTGTAAGGGAAGTTAAAGATTCCTTTTTAGAATGAGTGATCTATTAGGCAGATGAAGTAGAGTTCATATGTTTCTTGACCCAGCATATGAAGCAGTGGTGGTCAGCACAATGCCCAGGTGCCTTTAATTCCCCTGCCATGAGTATCCACCAGAGCTGGGTGGACTCTTCTGACTTGAACCCGGATTTGAACTCGAGACTTTCGGGTTAGCAGACTAGCACTCTACCACTAGGCCACTCCATCCCACTTTAGGAATGTAAATAATAAGTGATAATAAGTGAATTGGTTATAGGCGACATGGAGTCTGGCAACATGAGTGTGACAAAATATTGCTACCACATCCTGTTTTGGTGTGCATAGCTTTAGAGTTTATTATTAAAAAAGGTTTTGCTCATAGATATATATTGAGAGAGAGAGAAGTGGAAAAAAAAAATTTTAATGTAACATTTTGGTCTGGTTTATATTTAATTAGGTTATTTTCTCAGCCAACTGTATTATTATTTTTTTAATTAAGGCCACCGTTTTATAGTAGAATATATATTTTTTTATCCCCAGCAAACTGTTCATGGTTCAACCGAAAGAAAAAAGACAAGTACCTGGCTAAACACAATGCTGTATTTGACCAGCTGGACCTGGTGACCTATGAGGAAGTGGTACGGTTACCTCAGTTTTTGAGGAGAACCTTGGTGCTTCTAGGCGCCCACGGAGTTGGGAGGAGACACATCAAAAACACCCTCATTACTGGTCATCCAGAAAGATTCGCCTACCCTATTCCACGTATGTTGTTTCTTTTTGGGGTTGAATAGATAAATACATAGGGTAAACTAAAGTGATAGCAATTAATTAGCAAGACCTTTTTCTGAAAATAGTTTTTAAAATTTTTAACACTTTGGATTTCTTAGTTTATTGATTCAATTTACCACATGTGCCTTAATCTGTTATCGTAAGCTGCGCTAGCTATAGGAATATGTGTGTTAAGCTGATCGGATAAGTTTTTATTTAATGGATATATATCAAAAGAAAAACATTAAAACAGAAAATGTATAATTCATTGTTTTAACACCTTCTTGTTTGACTCTAGTTTAACATTCTTATAAACTTTCATAAAATTAGAATATAATACCCTCAATAATTTTTTTGGTATTTAAAAACATTACATTATCTCTAATTTTATTTTTTTATTTTAACTTATTCTACTATGTATATAACAGCTCCTCACAATTCACAATACTTTATCTCTGAAAAATGTTATACCCTCTGAAATATTTTCAAAAATATTACTTAAAATAAGCTAAAGCCTAAATAATACATGTCTAATGTGTTATTCAAGGATGAAATAAATAAATGGGCCGATAACTCCTATTAAAGCACCCCAGTATGATACTAATTTTGTGAAAACACTACCCAAAAAACAGATAACTCTCTCTGTACTACAGACACTACCCGGCAGGCACGTGTAGACGAGGAGGATGGGAAAAACTATTTCTTCGTGACCCATGAAGCCATGATGCGGGACATAGCCAACAACGAATACTTAGAATATGGGACGCACGAGGACGCAATGTATGGAACCAAGCTTGAGACAATACGTAACATTCATTCCCGAGGCTTGATGGCTATTCTAGATGTGGAACCACAGGTTGGGGTTTAGACTTTTTGTTTGGTGTAGAACAGTAAACATTAAATTTTTATTTTAATGGTCTATCTTAAAGGCGTCTTACAATGTTAGCAGAATGTATTTTTTATGGTGCGAGTGGGTACGAAGTCCCTGACTTCACCCAGCTCTGATGGGTACCTGACTCACGTTTGAGAAAGTAAAGATGGCTTGGCTTAGTACTGACCACACTATCTATTCATATGCCCTGGTGACTGAAATCTGTGAACTCTAGTTCACTTTGTAATTATTGTATTGTTTAAATATAATCCATCTTACTTCTAAGGTTTTTATTACAACCTAATTGCTTTTCAGTATGAAAACTATAATTTGTTTAACCCTGTTACAAAGCATTTGTCTACATTCTTAGATCAGACTAAACCATATATGATAATATTATATTAACATTTATAAACACATGTTCAGAATTATTTTTTTAACTCTCATATAGAAAAATAATTACAGCTGATCAGCATTTTATTTCAGGAGAATCATGTTGTTTGGGTTAAATTGTATGTTTAAGCAAATATTCAGCTAGTTCCAGCAACTACTAAAGCTGTTCATTTTTCCATGCAGGCCATCAAAGTATTACGGACAGGCATTTTCACTCCCATCATAGTTTTTATTGCAGCACCAACATTACCAGCCTTGCAGGAGGTATCCACATGACTATCACATGATTTTGTTGTCATGTGACTTTATTTGCATGTTGTCACTATGATTTTTTTGGCTTATAAATGTGCCTAATTTGTTTCAAGTATTTATGTTGTATCTTTTCTAATACAGAAAGGTATAATTCTTTTTAAATAGTCAAAAACTGCATTTGTTTTAGTTTGATGTCGCCTTGTACAAAGTTGATTTTTTAAACACTAATCAAGACACAAAATGGAACACATTTTAATATTTGATTGTCATTAATTAATTTTCCTGCTTTAATTTTCAGTTATGAACGTTGCCTTATATTGAATTATTTTATTTTATGCATCTTCACTTTGAACGTATCGTGGATTCACATAAATATTGAGATGAAAAAAAGCAACATACTAACAAATTTTATTTACTTTCAATTTTTATTGTAATGCTTTATTTATTTTTATTTTTTCCAATTAAAGCCAAAATAAATTAGAATTTATATTGTTATTTTATTTTTTTCTTAATCCCTGGCATAACGCAAGAGGAATTTATATTACTTAAATAATATCAGCAAACAGTTGTTTTTTCTTGCAAAATCAAACTTTTTTCATTACTTATTTTTATTTTGGCTTTATTGGTCACTTGCATTTCAGCACAGCTACTTTTGAATTTCATTATTTTTTGTTATAACAATTTTTGTTTCACTTTTTTATTTTTTTATTTTGCACTTTTTAACTGCATGTTGTGTATTCTGTTGGTTGTTGTGATCCTTACAGGCACTAAAAGTGCTACGGGCAGCTGACTATGCCCCTTATATTGTGTTTATCGCTGCGCCCAAACCTGAAGATATCAGTGAAAAACTTAGAAACTTCAGTGTAAGTAATGGAAGCTTCTTGTCCAAATGATTGCCACAACCCATAAAATTTAGAAACTTTAGTCACAGTGTAAGTAATAGAAGCTTGTTCTAAATGATTGCCACAACCCATAAAATTTAGAAAATTCAGTGTAAGTGATGGAAGCTTGTTGTCCAAATGATTGCTACAAATAAAAAAATTTAGATTTAGTTACCATGTAACTAATGAAATTTTGTTGTCCAAATGATTGCCACAACTCACTGCGTGATGAAATAGGAACAGACACGTAGCTGTATTTTTTAGCATGTTTTAAAAATGTATCTATTACTTCAGATATGGTCAGGGTCTAAAAGTATTTATAAAATGTTTAGTTTTAAACAGAATTAATTATTAGACCTTTTTTTTGTGTTAATCTACTATTCAGTTAAACCCCTGCTTGTAAATAAGACTAAATTGTTTTACATTGTTCTAAACTAGTACCAAATTAAAATATGTATCTGTCTTCTTACCCCAGGATATTTCAACATTCACAAACTGGTCTGGTCTTGAAATCCACTATCTTCAAGTGATTTTTCCCTTGTCTGTTGGAGTCAATTTTGGCGGGGGGGGGGGGGGTGTTCTGTTTTCTTTATTTTTTACCAGTTATTGCATTTCTAAACTTTACTGCGTTGGGATTTTGTAATAGGGATTTTGCTAGTAATAGTAGTTAGTACATAGTAAGTACATAGTACATAAGCTGTTGCAAGCGCTTTATTCAGTGACTTGCTAGTTTCTCCAACAATTCTCAGTGTTAACGCATCTTTCTAAGCCACTTCTACAAATTTTCTATGCCTGTCTCTTTCCTTGAAGATTCCAGGTGAGATCCTGTCTTGCTATGCTGGTCTGATAAACCTGTAATAGTATAGCTGAAGAAGTAAATGATCTGTCAAGTTTTACAATTTAGTTTGCTTCTGCTATGGTCATATAAAGGGACTACGTGGCCTAGCGGTAGAGAGCTAGACTGCTAACCAGGTTCAAATCAGTGGAATGTCCCTGAGTCCACCCAGTTATAATGGGTGCCTAACTTACATTAGGGAAGCAAAGGCACCTGGGTGAAGTGCTAACCACACTATCCCTTCATATGCCGGGGTCTCTGAAGCAGATGAACTCTAATTCATCTGCCCCATGTATCATGGGCACGAACGGGAAATGATGATGATGGTCATTTATGAATAGTTTTTATAGAGATTTTTTTAACTGCATTGTTTTTTAATGCTACCAGCATCACTGCAGTACTATAAGGGTTTGCATCTTCCTAAATTAAAAATTTACTTAAATATTTTTAAACTAACTAATTAAATGTCTGGAGCATGATTCATAACAGTCAACCAAACACATTTAATGGTAATAAGATATAGGTACATTGTAGGCCTATTTCTTTTGGCTAGAGCTTATTGTTTTTTTTAAGTGACGATGGCATGCAGTCTTTATTGCTAATAAGATGTTACCTATGATTTTATTGGCTTTAGAGTTCATTTACTATTAGTTTTACAATATAAATTATAAAAGGAAAAAACGTTAATATTGTTAAATTTAATAAAAATGTTTTGCATATTTTAATTATAAATATAAAGCATATTAATAATTTATTTAAATTCAATGTAATTAATGAATGCTTTAAGATTTACTAAAATATCTCATTTGCAACTATTATATTTATATACTCTGTTGTAGTACAGTCCCTAATTTTTGTTTATTTTCTTTTTTTCTAGGATTCAAGTTTAGAACGCTTAGCAAATGAAAGCAAACTCCTGGAAAAAGCCTACGGTCATTTCTTTGACCTGAAGATTGTAAACAATGACATTGATGAGACCATTCAGACTTTAGAAAAAGCTATAGAAGAAATTTGTTCAACGCCACAGTGGGTGCCGGTCAGCTGGGTGTATTAGTGTGTTTGTTGATGTGGAATGCCTGCTTGTTTGAAGTTGATCTATTCTTCCAATATGAGCCTTGAGTGTTGTTAGGGAGAGAGCCATGTTATTGACCAATGCTTAAGTTGATAGTTTGTGACTTGTTTGTTTGTGGTGGTTTAATGACCACTGCCGGTGCGTGACCATGCAAAGATTATTATAAGGTTGTTTTGGTATGCCTGTTTAAATTAATTAGAAATACCATTTATTTTAATGTTAAATTTGATATTACACTGGCACTTCATATATTTATATTAGACTACTTTGTAAAAGAATTAAGTTAAAATCTTTTATATGCATTTATTATAAAACTTACATGTAAGTTATTTAGAAAGGTGTAGTTTCTGTTAAAATATTTGTATAAAATACTTACTGGTAAGCGAGTAGATATTGTCATGTTTGAGAAAGGAAGAGAACAGTGACAGTGTTACACAATGATGTAGTCTGGCAGGTAGGTTACACTGGAACACAGGGTGAAAGAGATGTATAACAAAAATACCTGTGGGTAGGCCTCTTGTATGTTACGTCAAAACTTAGAATATATAGTTTAAGATAGCAGGATTATTAATAGTTTAATTCATGAAACATTTTTGATAATTAAATTTTTGTATTTTTAAAAATAGAATTTAAATTTTTAATTAATTATTTTATTGTTTTAATTCCCTCTTTAAAATGTATTAGACTTTTTTTTTCTTACATTCTAGCTATAATGGTTTAAAGGCTTAAAAAAGGAATATTTTGCTAATCAACTGTCAAATGGGACAGCTAAATTTAGTACATTCATGGATAACCGTAAGAGGAAAAAAACCACACTAAAAAATAATTTGGCTGTTTGAAGCAAATAAGGCCATTTATTTCTCAATATTAATTTTTTTTTAAATGAATAGTTCTTATATTAATTGACAGTGAAGTTAATTCATAATTTTATTTAATTACAATTCAGCCAGATTAACCTTTGCTAAACAGTAATTTAATTCCTGTCCGTTTGAAGTGAATGATTCACAAAATCACTTTAACTTATCCTATAATGTAAAAAAAACTACACAGAATAAGAGACTTTGTTTTTGTTGTGTAAGCTAAGCACTAACCAAGGTGTGATATTGTCCTACTGGTCACGGCACGACTTCGCTGCAACCCTGAGATTGATTCATGCAACACAACCCTATGTGTTACCTGATATTTATTTCATTATGTCCTCAAGCATAATACATCAATTCCATTTATACAACTATTTTGTGCTCATGTTCTTATAATCACCTCACTTACTTGCGTTGGTTTACCTGCAGCGGTTCTTATCAACTAATGTTTACATTAAATTTCATTATTGCAATTAACCATTTCTTTGCCTTTTATTTCCATTTTTAATGCATCTGTTTTTGATGCTGTTGTTTTCCAATTATCAGATCCTTCTCCTTATTTATTTTTCAAATGGTGTAAAAAAAAATTGATAGAAACCTCAGGTTATAAATATTGTGTTTGCTGCTAAGTTTGATAAATTTTTTTGTATAAATAATTTTATAGTCTTTGTGTAGTTTTGGTCAGATGATTTGAAAATATTTGGTTTTTGAAAAATCAAAATTAGTAGTTTTTTTTTAGCTAAATTTTATTCTTCATTAATTCTTTTTATCCCATTTCCTAGCATGAAATCAAACAAGCATTACTATACAAAAAATTTCACTTTTGAACATAGGAAAATGTTCTTTGCTGTTTATAAGTTAGCAGCATTCTTCATCAAAAAATTGTTTTTAGTTTTGTATCAGAGCATCAATGAATATTTCCTTTGGCACACAAATTAAGTCTAGCTTTGATTAATTTTTATTTTTCTGGTTAATGTCTGTAGAAATTGTATGTACTATCAAGTTACCTTTGTTTACATAGTATTTACACTTAAAATTGTGATACAAAATGTAAATACCACAGCTAATTATGTGCTGGTAACTGATGACAAAACAACACAATCTTGGGATTAAATGAAGAATGTGCTAATTGGATTTAATAAACATGTATCTGATACAAAATATTTCCATGCTTTTATCCTACTGATTGAATCTTTTTACTTAAAGTTTAGTTTTCTCATAGGGTTTAGTATTTACTATTTAGACTTTCAGAGGGCAGAATTTAATAGCTTGATAATCATATTTTTTTCATATAAGTCCAGGGCTACTTTCTCATCAGCAATGCTCATTCACAAATGAAAAGCTGGCATTGTGCTTAGATTTACTCTTATCGTTTATATTTATAAATTATAAACACTATCTTAGTGTCCTGGTAGATGCATTGTCTTAACGCCAGTAAGCCTATTACATAAATAACATAGACATCATTCATAATAGATTGACAGGTCTAGTTTTAAAATTATTTTATTGATAATAGTTTTATTAATTTAGAGCAATGTCTTAGACTTTTAGAGAACTTTTTCATATCATTAAATATCTAGGCACCAAAGATTTTAGCAACTCAAGAGAAAAAAAAGACCATTGTGTACTGTCCATATAATTATTATATAATAGATATAGCCAAAAGTCAAGTTTTTGTCTTCCAACACTCTCATAAAGCGGAAAAGTGAATTAAAGAAAAATACTAGGTTTATACTAAATCACTTCCAAAACTTATAAAGTGTAATTATCGAAACCAGCAAATTAAGCTAAATAACAAAAAATTTAGTTTGAACTTCTCTGGTTTCATTATTGCTTTACACGTATTTCTTCAACAATTTTATTTTGCAAATAGTTTTTAGAATGTAACCCCTCTTTGGCTATTAATGTTAATTTGTTTTTTAAATATTTTAAATTTTCTTTGAATTCAGACTTTTACAGTAACTAAATCTGCTTTATATACACCTCCTTTCATCAAACAAAATCATTTTGTTGACCTATGAGAATTTAAAATTAAATTATATTTATCATTATCATCTTTTGCTTTTTATTACTCTTCTTTTCTTTTATGGAATATCATGTTTAGTTTACCAACATAAAATACACATACACTCAGCTAAATGTAACTTGTGAGGGCGTTTTATAATAAGTCACACCTATAAAACACCTGACATTCTGTACATTTATATTCCAAATGATTTCACACCTAATCATTCACTATGTAAATTTTAGTTCTAAATGTACTTGAGCCATTATGAGAATATTTTTAAATTTAAGCCATGATTATTGCCAAAGATCATTATGCTGAATTACTATTTGTTTATTAAAGTTTTAATAGATAAAAGATTTTTTTTAAAGTGTTACTTTCTGACGACACAAAAAAAATATTTTAAATAGGCCTGTTTGTGGAATTTTGATTTTTTTTTTATCTTCTTGAATTAAAAAAATTAATTCTAAATAAAAATTATGATATGTAATCAAGTTTTATAAATCAAATAATTGAGCCTAGCATTAGATGTAAAGAAATTTTTGGGATAAGTCTTGATGTAATGTCCTTAAAGGACCTTGCATGACACTACTGTAAATACTTTGTCATTTTTTTTTTTGCAAAGTATAATCAGGACCTAATGATGATTGCTACTCTTATTTTATGCATGTATAATTATCAATAAAATACAAGTTGATTAACAATATATTGTGTTTTATCAGTTTAACTTTTTTGGTTTCAATTAATTGTCTGTCTATGTATGTCTATTACATACATAAATTTAGTTCAATTTTTAGATATAATCTTTTTACTTACTGTCATATTATTTTAAAGGGATAGTTTGGAAAGATTTTAATCTTAAGCTATGTTCAATGTTGCTATGGTATACCTAGTGACAAGTGCCTACTGCATAAGTAGGGTAGTATGCAGTTCATAAATTATGTAAAGTTCCTTTTTTACCCTGACGGTCCATGGGGCAAGTGAAGTAGAGTTAATCTGTTTCTTTGATCTCGGTATTTGAAGGGATAGTGTGGTCAGCACCACGGCCAGTCATAAATTATGTAACAGACCTTATTTATTACGTCCCTAGGTCGGGTGTCACCCGGTGCGGTAACTCATGGTGTCACACTCCCCCCTTTTTTTTCTCTGTAAATTTTGCAGTTGGTTTCACAGCAAGGTGTCACCCCCATACACACCCTTATGGGAATTGTCATTATGTACATTAATCAATTTTTTTACTCTAATTAACCATTCATTGAACTGAGAAAAAACATTTATTCTATTTATCTTGCAATTTTTTGTCTTGGTGTCACCCCCCCCCCTTAAATGCTATCACCCGCTCCCGCCTTGCGATACCTCTGGGAGTACGTGGCATTCTGCAGCAATGTAATATAGTCTTTAATGGACGCCCACCCCTTTTCCACCAATATATCTTTATTTTATAATTTATTAATTGCCATCGTTTTGTATTCTCGACTGTTAGTAAATTGTAGCTAGCAAAGCACAAACCAATTTGGGAGTTTAGCACAACTATCCGTGAAATTATGGCCAACAATGAAGCTTTTCATGCAAAACCGTAATAATTTTCTTAACAAAACATAATAGGATGGGCCATAAACAACGACATACTGCTAGGGCTGGGGGTTCTGACTTTGGGGGAAGAGTTGGATTTAAAAAGTGGCCAAAACAAACATGGAAACGGTCAGTGAAGCTGAAACAGTCGGAATGACGGGGGCCCAACTTAGAGGAATCGCGCAGTTATAGTTCGAAGGAGAGGTGCGGTATTTTGTATTTTACACCACATATTAAAATCATTTTAAAAATTGAATCAATGAAGTTTCTTGGCTAGTTTTCGAAATAATTATTAAATTGTGAAAAAAAATTGATCTGACGACTTATTATAGGCAGTTAATATTTTATACGAGAAAAATGGCCCGTTGAGGAAGGATACACCGGGCGCTAGGTTGATAGTGCTGTCTCTTTTCTCTAAACTAAAACCAACCCACCCCCCCCCCCCACACACACACCACCCCCACCCCCCCACCCACCCCCACCCCCACCCCCCAAAAAAACATGTCTACCGTCCCATTCAGCGAAATATAATTATATACTTTTTCCAGTGTCCGCCCCCTCCCCGAAAATTCTACCCCCGCCCCCGAAAATTTCAAGTACCCCACCCCTCTCCGGGGAGGAAAAAGTCTGAAAGAAACACTGGTGTCGCGCTTAGCCACTACCCGAAGAATTGCATTAAAGAAATTGCAAGAAAACCACTTTTGAGATTAGACACATTAATTAGGCGGTAATTTTATTATAGAGTATCGATGAGGAAATTTCTTTTGAGTTGGGGAGGGGGAGGGGCTCAGACGTTCTTACGCGGGGGGTGGGGCTTCGCCCCTACCCGAAGAATTGTATGCAAGAAACTCTTCACGCAAACCACTTAGATTAGACAACATTTCCTCTTTATTCAATGTTTACGCCAGAATCAATGACGTCATTATATTACTGTGAGATTATTTTCAACTCTATGCTAAATGTGTCGACGTCATACTTCGTTTTTCGAATTACTATGCATGTTTTTAAATTGCTTGTCTTTTCTCTAGAGCGTTCTTGTCAGATAGATAGATAGATAGATAGATAGATAGATAGATAGATAGATAGATAGATAGATAGATAGATAGATAGATAGATAGATAGATAGATAGATAGATAGATAGATAGATAGATAGATAGATAGATAGATAGATAGATAGATAGATAGATAGATAGATAGATAGATAGATAGATAGATAGATAGATAGATAGATAGATAGATAGATAGATAGATAGATAGATAGATAGATAGATAGATAGATAGATAGATAGATAGATAGATAGATAGATAGATAGATAGATAGATAGATAGATAGATAGATAGATAGATAGATAGATAGATAGATAGATAGATAGATAGATAGATAGAGATAGATAGATAGATAGATAGATAGATAGATAGATAGATAGATAGATAGATAGATAGATAGATAGATAGATAGATAGATAGATAGATAGATAGATAGATAGATAGATAGATAGATAGATAGATAGATAGATAGATAGATAGATAGATAGATAGATAGATAGATAGATAGATAGATAGATAGATAGATAGATAGATAGATAGATAGATAGATAGATAGATAGATAGATAGATAGATAGATAGATAGATAGATAGATAGAGATAGATAGATAGATAGATAGATAGATAGATAGATAGATAGATAGATAGATAGATAGATAGATAGATAGATAGATAGATAGATAGATAGATAGATAGATAGATA